ATAAACACTAACCCTAAATTCTAATCGAACTATAAAAAAAAAGCTAAACAAAACACCCCAAAAAAATTTTACATTTTTATAATAAAATAAGTCAAAATGTCAGCATCATCCGATTTCAGCATCATCCCCAACAATAAATAAGCAAATCTTACTATATTGACATTAAACCACCAAGAAGGTAATCATGATATCCTATAAAAAAATATTTAATCTGCATTTTCTATTCTGCATTTCATCCATAAATGTTGTATCTTTATAAAATTTATATCTTTATAGCTGTTTTTATTATTTTTGGAATATCTGGTAAAAAATTGACCAAATGATTGTTTGCGATTTAATAAGTTATTGATTTGGCATAATCAGTATAAGGTTTATAGCTAAAGCCAAGTATATACATATATTTTAAAATATACAAAATATATAAAAATATTACATGACTTTAAATAGCCTCTATTTTCTAATTGTAATATATAAAATACTAATTAGGCTTTTCTTTCATCAAAGTTTTAAAATATTTACTATTATTCAGATTTAGTAGACATAGTTTTTTTACAAGTGGCAAAAGTCTTTCAACACATCTATATCTTTGAAATTGTTTGTTATTAAAGATCTATTAACTCTTAAGTATTTGGCAATTATTTAAATTGATTACCCTTCTAAATTTTTTTTCACTATTTTTTAGCAAATATTCTTTGAAAATATCATATTTAACTAGAGTTATATCGATATTGGCCACTATCAACTAAAATTGTCTCTGCTGTACCATAAATAGAGGCTGTTTGAAGCCCTGTAGTATTTTATATTTCATATGTTTCAATTTACTAATCAATTTAAAACATATATAGTACATACGTACCTGGCTTTAGATTATCTCTGTAAATAATAAACATTATACTGATTATACTAAAATAACTTATTGAATCGGCAAGCAATCATTATATTAATTTTTTACTAGATATTCTAAAAATAATAAAAATAGCTGTAAATGATGGAAATTATTTGGCCTACCAAATCGTGTTGCAGATTCATAGCATTTTTACAGAAAATAAGTAGAAAAATTAGAATGAGATCTCACAAAAGTTATGGCAGAATTGAATAATACCAATAAGCATACAAACCTTGTAAAAAAATCAATCAGATATTGTTGCAATAAATTAGTAAATCAAACTTTGCTAATAATAAAGCATTGATTAAGAGACAATTATATTGTTTTAACATAACTATGAAATATTATTTTATTATTAAACAAGTAGTTACCAATAGAATGTGCTTATTAAAATATAGTAAATATATAAAACAGCTGTAAATGCAATTCTATGTTACAAAACAAAGCTTCTTTTAAATTAAATTCATTTATAGATTTCAGATCTTGAGAATCTTCTTAAATTAAATTTACTTCATGGTTTTGGGTATTGCAATCTCTATACTGCAAGTAAATGTTTTTTTTTAAATTGAATTCATTTTAAAGTTTTGGGTATTGTAAATCTGGCAGTAGATGATTAGTTAAAATAAAACATGTAGATTAATCTTTACAAGATCATTTTTATATATTTACATGTATGAATTCTCTTATCACATCTGCAGTTCTTCTCATTAACTACTACAATCAACTATTCTTCTATCAGTCCATATTCAGTTACTTGATCAAAGCGAATTGTTAAAAAAATCAAAAGTATCATTATTTCTAAACCTTGTTCAAAGAATCAAAAAGTATGATTATTTCAAGCTTTGTCTAAAAAATCAAATAGCATAATAATTTTCAAGCTTACTTAAAGAATCAAATGCCATGATTATTTCTAAACCTTGCTTAAATATATCAATTATACAACCAGTTCATATAATTGTCTTTCAAATTGAGCTTGAGAATTTACATTCATTTCAACTGAATAATTTGTTTCTAAATTTGTATCAGATAAAACTATCCAATATCGTTCAACTAGTATTTCAGTTATGTTTTGAAGTAAATTTTTTTCTTGTTGTTTATGTTTTTGAACCTCATGCTCTGCTAGCAGCATTCTGCCTGCATGAATTTCAGCTAATCTCCATTGCTTTTGAGCATTACTATTTTTATTAATATATAATTCATGAATAAGAATATCTCTACATCAATTAGGCTTTTCTTCAAAAATATCATATTTAAGCTTCTGATGCTATGATTCTAACATATTTTGTAGTATTAAGATTATTATGAGAAACATTTAGTCTATATGCTTTAATCCACATTGTTTTGTCAATTTCACTAGTTTGATAATAATTATTTGATTCATTTAACTATTGTTTTTTAAAATATGAAATAAATGATATCAAATTTGATCATTTGCTTAAAAAATTATTAATATATTCATCAATATTTCTACGATTATCAATATATATTAATTCTCTTAAGTCATCTATAATTCTTCTTTTATTTTATTTTTATTTCTGAACTTAATTTATCATTTAATACTAAATTTGCTTTTTCGATATAGACTTTTTTAAATTATCTTGCCAAGCTCTAAGAAAATACTATCAGCACAGTAAAATTATACTTTTTAGAAAGATATTCCAGTGAGCTTTAATCTGTACAGGATCACAATCAGCTAAAAAAGATACTGAACCTTTTTATGATAATTGAATATGGCAACTATATAACCAAAATTGTACAGATGCAGTATTTTTATAAGAAGAAATAAGATGTGCAAGAAGCAATTCTTTTCCAGTTTTAAAATCAGGTGAGAGAAGAGTATAAAGTAGATCATTTTTTTATTAGTACCATATGTAGCATCAAGTAAAACTGTATTAATATTATAAATTATTTCTTTCATAATAGAAATTATAAAACCTAAAAGTTGTCCTTTATTCTTATTATTATTACTTTTAGATTAAGCTATAGTACAAGTTAAATCACCATTTTTAAAAGTTTGTGCTACCATAAATTAAGACTTTTCTTTTTAATTTCATGTAATATTGATCTTCATTAATTACTTCTTTCTATATATTATATATATCATCAATAATAATAAAATGATTATGAATTTGTATTGCTTTTAAATTGTTACATTGATCCCAAATTTTATCTAAGTCATGTGCTTATTTTCTAAAAATCGACCAATTGCTTTAATATCTAAACCATCATGCATTTACTGTGCAATATAATTTCGAATTTAGTTTGAAAATCTAAGTGTTCTAATATCATTGTCACTATCTAGAGTATGATTTGAATGTGATGTATATTTAATAATCATTTGAGAACAATCTTCTTTAGTTTTAGTAATTATAGTTGTAGATTAACAGCCAATTTTTTTTAAATTTTTTTGAATAATTCTTGCTTTTTTTATAGGATTTTGACCTGCTTGGCTTTTATATTTTCCTGAGTAATAATACTTGTAAGTGTATCAAAATTTAATATTTCCAGTATTATATTTAGTTTTTTTCTATACATAACTTGTATGAGTATTGTAATTAAAATCATAAATCCAATTTTCAAAATCAGTATCTAATGAAATAACATATTTTGTGTCTGAAGAAATTTTACTATACTGAACACCTTCATATATAAATAAGGTAGCATTAGGCAGAAGAAGAGAATCAAGAATTAAATTATCTTGAAGAGTTTCTGTGAAATTATTGAATATATTAAAAAATCATCTAAACACATTTCTTCATTACTTAAAAGTTCTTCTACCATTTTTATTATATTAAATAATGAATCTATATAAAATAAAAATTCACTTTAAATATTAAATTTCTTAAAAATTTTTACTTTTAATAATAATTAATAATTATTAGATATTGGTCATACATCGATTAATATTGTGAAATTCATTCCATTTGGGCAAATGATTGGTTGACACGTGCCGCTATGCAGCACGTGCCAACAAATCATTTGCCCAAATAGAATAAATTTTACGATTATTTATCAACGCATGATTCAATATCGATGTTATCGTGCATAATATGATCATTTAACTTTTGCGTCATGATATTTTAAAGAACACTTTTCTCTTTAAAGAAGGCTTCTACTTTAATGACTCTTTTTTTTTATACAAAGAATTTCATGCTATCAACGTAATGATTTGAAAGATTTTTTTTTTCTCTTGTATTAAACTAAGATCGCAAACTAGTCCTGTGCTTTTTTATATATATATAATTTTTTTTTTTCTTTTTTGCTTTCGCTTTTCGCCTGCTTTTATTTGCTATACCGTTGAAATGCCAAAAGCCAAAAGGTATTTTTTTTATTTATTTTATAAATTTGGCATACTTGTATTAATCTTAAAAACTTTGTTTAGAATTTTAAGTATTCTGAATCTATGAAAGATGATCTCAAATGATTAAAAAATAGTGGAAGGGTTAAAACAACGCATAATGAGAATTTTAAAAAATGTTTGCCCTAAAAGTGTTGTGATGCCAGTTATAAGAATTTAAAAAATATTCGCTCTAATAGTGTTGTAACCCAGCTATGAGAATTTTAAAAAATGTTCGCTCTTATAGTATTGTAACTCTAGCTATGAGAATTTTATAAACATTCACTCTATATATTCTAATAATTTATGCATTATTTCAATATCTTGCATACGTCATTTTGTAACAGAATATCTTGTGACGTAATTTTGTAACAAAAATATCATGGCAAAAAAAAGTCACATGATTATATGGAATGCACGATAATTAAAATTAATGATCCAGATCATGATTTGTATTATGTATATCTTGTATCACAGTAGAAAATAAGTAAATCTGGATAAAGAATTAGTTGTATAATATCTTCTGTTAAAAAATAGATGACATAGTCTCACCATCAATATTAAAAATAAATAAATAAAATAAAAATGTTAACTAGTAATTTCTGATAAAATGATGAAACCTGACAAAACCATAAGTTTTATCAATAACAAAACTAGATGAAACTTATAGTTTCATCAGGTTTCATTATTTTGTTAAGTATTATTAATATTAATAGTCTGGTTTAATCTAACTTAGTCTATTTTAGAGTTTACATTTTTTCTCAAGGCTAGTTTAGTTGTTTAGCCAGCTACATAGCTTTTTAACTGACTGAAAGTTTATTAACCAGCTAATTATAACAATCAATACTGATATCAAATTTGTCAAATATAAAATTATATTTCAAGAAACATTTTAACTTAAATAATTTTTATTATTATTTTGCTCTTTTGATATATAATTTCTAAATTGACAAATTAATATGTTAATTATTTGTTAACAAAATTTTAAATTTATATTGACATAGTTTTTAATCACTAATTATTAGCTAACTGGATAAGCCAATAAAATTTAATAGCTTAAGTAAGCAATAAAATTTAATTGGCTTGAATCATTAATACCATTAATCTCTACTACAGTATCATATTTTTATTCGCTTTTTGATCATTTAATTTCATTAATAAATATCTTATATTCATCATATTCATCATATTCAACATCTATTTTATTTTGTATCATCAGAATTTTCTTTATTTTTTATCACCAATTCTATTCTGACTCAACTCTAAGATTTCTTATTCCACTGATACAACCCATCTTCAGAAACTTTTCATCACTTCAATATTCACAGCAGCTATCATTGACACTTGCACCACTGGAA